TCCAGTGGTTTCACATAGATGTTAAAAAGGAGCGGAGAGAGTACCGAACCCTGTGGCACCCCACAATGGAGGGGCCATGGGCTGGACCTCTCACTCCTGATCAACACCGATTGAGATTGACCTTGGAAAAAGGAAGAGAACCAGCGTAAAACTCTGCCGCCCACCCCCAACTTCCTAAGTCAACCCAAAAGGATACCATGGTTGATGGTACTGAAAGCTGCTGAGAGGTCAAGAAGAGCAAGGATGGATGCACTTCCCCCATCCCGCTCCCACCAGAGATCATCCATGAGTGTGACCAATGCCATTTCCATCCCAAATCTGGGCCTGAAATCTGCCTGAAAAGGGTCCAGATAATCCGTTTCCTACAGGATCCTCTGGAGCTGCAATGCCACCACCTTCTTAACCACCTTCCCTAGAAAGGGGAGGTGGGAGACTGGACGAAAATTGTCCAATATGGTGGGATCCAGTGATGGTTTCTTGAGGAGAGGGTGCACCAGCTCCTCTTTAAAGGGAGCTGAAAACACTCCCTCCCTCAAGGATGAATTCACCATCGCCTGGACCCACCCATATGTCACCTCCTATTTATTTAGTTATTTATTGTCCACATTTCTACCCTGTTGCAATCCAGAGACTCTTAGCGGCTTACATAAACTAGAAAACCAAATAAAACATTCACAAGTAATATAATTATAAAACGGTAAAGCAATACCACCCAAACAGAACATTGCAATAAAAATAGCAAAATAAAGATGGCTTGATAAAATGAGAAAGAACAAGTCTGTCTTTAAAAGCTTCCAAAAAGTTAAAAGGAAGAGGACTAGCTTGGTCTCAATAGGGAGGCAGTTCCACAGGGTTGGCACCAATGTGGAAAAACAGCGCCTTCTCGGTTCATCTCCCCAGACCTGAAAATGTAGGCTCATCAGTACATTCTCTGCGCAGTTGAATTGGTGGGCTGGACCTTACTGGTGTACAGTCCTGCAGATATCCAGGCTCCAAGCCACAAAGGGCTTTACGGATAAAAACCAGAAGCTTAGACTGCACCCGGTAACTAATCAGTAAGAGACGCAGGGCCCGCAAATGCAGCGTTACACGCTCCCAATGACAGGACCTGGAAAATTCACAGGCTGCTGCATTTTGGACCAAGCTCATAGTAGTTTTTAAGGACAACCCCGTTACTGTAGCCCAGTCAAGTGGTGATAAGGGCAGGAGTTAGCGTAGCTTTTAACTGCCTCTTTTAATTGCTAATTATAGATTAATTTTAATAATTTTGATTGTTTAATTCAGCATCACCAAGCACAGGCCTCTGTTCCTAACTATGACGACAGACGCGTCCTTCCTATGTTGTTGAGGGGGATGTTCCAGATCCTGATTTCCTGTGATATAAAAGCCTCACACACCTGAAGCCAGCCCCTTGTCTCTCTGGCC